AGGGGTATTTCTAAAATCTACTATTGGTCTTATGGGATAACCTGGCTTATGTATTTTAATAGTACCATACATCCTACTAGCATTATTAGTTTTAGGCATTAAATTAAACCATTTTGACTCACCCAGTGACGGCTTCATTCTGCGTACTAATTCCACTGTGGATTTTTTAACCTTATTCATTATTGTGTCTACGGGCTTCTTAATTTCCTCATATGGACCCATTTCAATATGTTCAGTGACTTTCTTGATGTAGTCAGATTTATTCAAAACTACGGTGGCGTTTCCTTTGTCAGCTTTTGCGATGACAATATTTTTATCCTGTTTTAGATTAATTAAAGCTTCTCTTTCCGACTAAGTCAAGTTTGATTTTGCCTTCTTTTGATTTTTTAGGGTTAATGCACATTGTGCTCGAACCTCTTCTGCTGTTGTTTTATCTATTGTACCTAGTGCTACTTCTATGTTAGGAATGACATCCTCTGGTTTTAATTTATTAACTGTTACGTTGAAATTTAGTCCTTTCTCCAGTACTTTTATCTCACTGGAGAAAGGACTAAATTTCAACGTAACAGTTAATAAATTAAAACCAGAGGATGTCATTCCTAACATAGAAGTAGCACTAGGTTCAATAGATAAAACAACAGCAGAAGAGGTTCGAGCACAATGTGCATTAACCCTAAAAAATCAAAAGAAGGCAAAATCAAACTTGACTTAGTCGGAAAGAGAAGCTTTAATTAATCTAAAACAGGATAAAAATATTGTCATCGCAAAAGCTGACAAAGGAAACGCCACCGTAGTTTTGAATAAATCTGACTACATCAAGAAAGTCACTGAACATATTGAAATGGGTCCATATGAGGAAATTAAGAAGCCCGTAGACACAATAATGAATAAGGTTAAAAAATCCACAGCGGAATTAGTACGCAGAATGAAGCCGTCACTGGGTGAGTCAAAATGGTTTAATTTAATGCCTAAAACTAATAATGCTAGTAGGATGTATGGTACTATTAAAATACATAAGCCAGGTTATCCCATAAGACCAATAGTAGATTTTAGAAATACCCCTACATATGAATTATCAAAACATTTAGCTCTAATATTATGCCCCATTAGAAATCGTCCAAATTCTAGACTAACTAATTCATATGAAATGAAAAATAAACTAAATGACATACAACTAGATAATGATGAAACAATGGTTAGTTTTGATATAACCAGTCTTTATACTAATATACCAGTCAATATGGCCTTAGAAGCAGTTAAAAAAGAACTAACTGCGGATACTGAACTCAATCATAGGACAAAGCTGTCCATTGAAGAAATTATTTTAGGGATTCAGCTATGCCTCACATCTACTATCTTTAGATTCCAAGGCAAAATATATAGACAAACAGAAGGTGTAGCAATGGGATCACCAATATCCCCTATCGTAGCAGATATATTTATGGATAGCTGGGAAAATATGGCACTTAATACGTTTAATCCTACTCCAAAAATACGGTGGAGATATGTGGATGACACTTTCACAGTGTTAAAAACAGAACATATCTCTAGCTTCTCGACACACATAAACTCACTAGTGGAGGGAATAAAATTCACATTTGAAGCCGAAAATGAACAAGGAGAATTAGCTATGTTAGATTGTAAAATAAAACGAATAGAAGAAGGCAAACTACACACTAGTGTTTATAGAAAACCAACGCATTCTAATAGATATTTAGACTTTAATTCATCTCATCCTTTAACTGTTAAGACAGGCTTAGTTAAGTGTTTAACAAACCGAGCAATGGCACTAAGTAGCACAAAAAAAGACCTAAATGATGAAATAAAACAGATAGAAGAGGCGTTGGTTTTAAATAACTATCATCTAAAATTCATTAGGAAGATTGAAAAACGCCAAAAGAAAAATAAAAAGAATTGTGAAACTGGTAATAATAACATAAATAAGGGAGAATATAAGTCATCTACAGTTATACCATATAAAGAGGGGACATCTGAGACTCTACGTAGGATTGAGGGATCAGTATTGCTTGGAATCATTTTTACTAGCGCGCGTTGAGTTTCAATGAGAGTTCGTTCCTTCAATTCACTCATTGACTCCCTGGTTGGGGTCTGAGAGATAGCTCAAATCGATGGCTCGAAACGTTATCGGATATGGCCAAGAATCGTAATCAATGGCGAATGTGTTGCGATTTCCTTCTTTCTTCCATTCCCGATGATAGTTAACGAACACTGTTTGAACCTGTTAAGAATGAGTGTTTTCCTTCCAGATGAAGTTCTTTATTCGTTCTCCACTTATATATATTTTTTCTTTTCCTGCCTTCCTTCCTTTTTTTCATCTATGTTGTTTTATTATTATTGTGTGGCGCATCCTCCTTGGTGCCATATTGTACCAAGTTTTAATGAGTTTAAATAAAATAATATAAAATAACTACGTAGGATTCTAAATAAAGCAGGAATTAGGGTGGCATTGAAACCTACAAACTCACTCAGGGACAAGCTCTGTAGGTTAAAGGACCCAGTGGACCCAACTAGACAAAATAATATAATTTACAAAATACCCTGCAATGACTGTGATTGTGGTCAACTACATAGGTCAAACTAGTAGGTCAGGGGTAGTCAGATTGTCAGAACATAAGAATTTAACTAAGGTAAGAATGGTTGACCCAGAGAAGATAAGTAATTTAGAAAAAAGCTCGGCAATTGCAATGCATGCATTAACACACAACCACACAATAGGGTGGGAGAGGGTTAAAATTCTAAAAAGTAATCTAGGTAGGTGGAGAGAGAGGTTGATTACTTTGTTCATCGAATCTACACCCAACACATGCAATAGGAATGAATCATCACTCATACCTGAAATATGGAAAATAGTACTACCAATCAAATCAAGTGAAAAACAATGGAACTATATAAATGAATTTAGGAAGTCGTGTGATTAACTTGATATGATTATGAGCAATAAATTGTGCTCGAAACGTCATCAGTAAATATTACTGTATAACACTGTGAGACTCCATCGAAATAAAATTTACCCATAATGGAATTACACTCTACCACAGTGCCCAGGTTTTATTCTTATATCAATGGTCAGCCTCCCTCTCTACCTGCTCGATTACTTCTTAGAATTTTAACCCTCTCCCTCAACCTTATTTTGTGGTTGTGTGTTAATGCATGCAGTGCTTTTGTTGAGCTTTTTTCTAAACTACTTTTCTTCTTGGGGTCAACCATTCTAACGTTAGTTAAATTCTTATGTTCCAACAATCTGACCATTTGTGATCTACTAGTTTGACCTATGTAGTTGACCACAATCACAGTCATTGCAAGGTATGTCGTAAATTATATTATTTTTTCTAATTGAGTCAACTGACAGGGTCCTTTAACCTACAGATCTTGTCCTACCTGAATGAGTTTGTAGGTTTCAATGCTACTCTAATTCCTGCTTTATTAAGAATCCTATGTAGGGTCTCAGATGTCCCCTCCTTATATGGCAGACTTGTAGATGCCTTACATTCTCTCTTATTTATGTTATCATTCCTAGTTTCACAATTATTTTTATTTTGTTTTTGGCCTGTTCTGGTCTTCCTGATGAATTTTAGGGGATAGATATTTGATACCAAGCGTTGGTATCAAATGACTCGAGACGTCATCAGTAAATATTACTGTATAACACTGTGAGACTTGATCAAAATAAATTTTACCCATAATGGAATTACATTTCTAGCTACTTGTTTTGCATTTTTGGAATTTTTAAATCATGAAGTGATGAACTTCCCTACGGAGATTAGCATTGATTGTCCAATAGGTCAGTCAATGAAAGAAACCAACTTAAAGTAGTGGTAGTAGTAGTGACTGGCTGACTTGTTTCAACGTAGAACTTTGCAGAGATGTGCAGCAGCCCCAGTTGCCACACTCTGTCCATGTACTACACAAAGCCAGAGAAGAGAGTAAAGAGAGATAATAAACAAATAAACCAGACAGCCATCCAGCCACCCAGTCGACACCCCACTACGTGACTGGCTGGCCTAAACTAAATATCATGGATTTCGTTGACTGGTGAAGTCGTGTTTTCGTTTCACCACCAGCAGATTTTTTCCGACCTCACCGATACTATGTCAGCTAGGTAAGATTGCCCGTCGACGAAGGCGATCGATGGCTAGGCTAGTATGCGTAACACCTCTACTAGGCATCTCAATCGATGTAACATCACAACCTCGTCAGTTGTCTTCCCCTGCCTCCTTACCTAAAACTCGACAGATGCTTAACCTCAATACAATATTACTCACCCTATCATACCATACTACCTAACACGGGATGTCGGTAAAACACAGACACGTATGATGAAAGACAGCTAGCTAGGCTTTTCATGTCTTTCACTGTCAGTGGTCACGTTTCACTCACATTTATAAAGGAGTAGGTGAGAGTCAACTGGTGAGCAGTTTACATGTCCTTTGGTCGACAGCCAGCCAGGTATCACGTCTACGCGAGAGGTGGTTTAAGTTGGCTGGCGAATACCAAACAAGCCTTCTGTATCCATACTGGGATTGGTCAGCAATCAACGTGCTGGGACCGGCTAATGCAACTTCTCTGAAAAAATCTTGCTCTATGCTAGTAGCTGTTTTTCTGTCAATTCGCTACCCTAACATTCTTCCTGGGATGGAAGGACCTGCGAGAACATTAGTTCCAGCCAGTGTACCTTGTTGGGTCATTGTTATATGCAAGCCTGATCACAACGTAATGATAGGTAGCAGTTGTCGGGTAGGAACTTAGGTTACATAACGTTGAGAATATTTTCGTAACTCTTCTTTAAGCTGAAATTTGTGATAATCTGTATGACTGTCTGTTTATTGATAATCGGCTGTGTTCATTTGCGAAATATTTTACTTTGAATATACAAAATGCTTGATGAATAAGCCTGTTTGCTTTGTGTAATCGTGATTTTGTTTTTTGTTTTTTTCTCCGCCTTTTTCCACTCAAAAATCCATTAATGATAGATAAAAAATATGCAGAGGACTAGTCCTGATCCTCTGGTCTCTGCTACCCTACTGGTGTGTGCACATTGTATTCACGAAGCAATTGAATTACTGTTAAGTTATGAGAAAGTTGAAGAAGCTTTAATTCTGGCTCATTTACGTTTAGAATCATCATCATCAGAAGTTGTAATATACACAGAAAAGTGTATAAAACGGTTAATTGATCATCGTTCAAGTTCATTTGATGAAAAGTCATTCTTTTCAATTCGATTGAATATTGGAAATAAACAATGGCTAAATGCTACGAATATTATGGTACATCGTGAAGTAGAAATTTCTAAAATACGACCTGGTAAAGAAGAGATTGAACAAGTTGGCTGGCTGGTGTTGGATTGGTATTGATCTTCTAAATGCATCATCATCATCTTCAAATGATAATGATCATTTGTCAAATGAATGTCTGCGTTTATCATCAATGTGTTTAACAGTTAGTTTTCGGCTATTTCTACACCTTGTGTCAAGTGAACGCAATGATATATAATAAAAAGGATTGAAAAACATGATTATTTATTGACTGGACAAAAACATAAACGTAAAAATCAATGAATACTCGATACTAAAACCTTACACTGGCAGGTTTCACTCAGCATACAAACTTGTCATCCGTATTTGAAGTAAAACTATCGCCCATTTTTTCGATAAGCTCGACGAATGGGATCTCATGAAGTATGCAACACGAATAACTGGCTGGAACTTATTTCAAACAACAACAGCTAAGCAAGTGATCTACTATATCACACATAACACATAGCCCATAGATTGCCTCACTGTAAAAGCTGCAGAGTACAACCATTTCTACACAGTTAACTGACACGTCTTTTAACAGTAAGACGGTGAATATAGTGAAGTGAAACTCCCACGAAGGAGAGAAAATATCAAACTGAAATTTGATTGAAGACTTTGTCGAACACTCACCTTAACCATCTGATCACGTCCACATGTGAGAATCTCAGGATCTGACGATGATGCAGAAGCACTTGAGCGCCATACAATTTGACAGATATCCGCCTCATGAGCATAAAAGCGAGTCAACTGTACGATGCTTGGAGTTGAAGAAATATTCGACGGTTTAAATGAATAAACACACACAATTCCCTTTTTGTTACCGACAGCAACTCGCGAAATGGAAGGAACTATTGCGGATTTCTCCCATGTGAACATCATAACTGAATCGTTTTCAAATTTTTCAGATACATAGTAAGATTTGCTTGTCTCACAGTCGTCAACAACCCATACTAAAAGCAACCCTTTATCTGTGCCCACGAAGTTGTACGACTCATATTTGCAGAGTAGGAGAAACAGCTGACAGCTGTTCGGTTGATATTACCCCGCACTTTTTGTATATTAAACTCGGTCTCCAGCATCCATTCTTGATTGAAATACTTCCAACGTCGAACCGAACCATCAAGGCCACAAGAAACTATACGCACACAAGCACACTCATCAAAGGTTACTGCTGATATCTTGTCTTGATGGGGTATTATCTGGCCCACGCGACTCCACGAATACTGCTGTTGATTTTCCAAGTTCGTTTCTTGTTTAATGATGAAAACGTGTATATAAGAACGAGAGGTAAATGCAACAAGAGCACGTCCTCCATTGTTATGGGTTAGCCAATTTGTGACGGCCACTACGTTTGACTGGAACCAGTCTGGTGGACCTGTCAAAACATATTAGGCTATTTTGCGATATTCCTGAATTAGGTAAATTAGTGTCACACTGAACTTACCATCAGGAGGTAGTGTAACGGAACGTTTACAGTCCCACCAACTTCAATATCCAAGATATTCGAGCGGTTGGACTTACTCAGATTTCAGATTTATTGGGTGAGTATAGAAGGCTTGGAGCCTATGTTAATCGTTGAGAAATGTGCACCCTATACTAGACGGCCATAGTTTCCTAAATATGCGAATATAATTTCTTTAGGATTCACAAAACCATGGTCAGTAGGCATTACACTTAGGTTGTGGAATAATTTCCAAGTTACACATTCGCAATACTTTCTGTAAAGTAGAAGTAATTGGTGTGAGGTGTGGTTTATCTACCTCTTATCTGCATGGAATGCAAGAAATCCTGATGGCAGAATAGCGCCTTAACAGTATGTATGGATGTTCCAGAGATTGTCTTGAAGTTTGTGTATAATTCTGTGATACAGGAAGGAAGGCATATGATGTCTGCTTATGTGTATGGTGATAATTGTAAAAGTCGGTTATGGATTGCAAATACTTTTATTTACACGAAAATTTTAGTAGAATCAATGTATCCAGTTGGCATACTAATAATGTAAATTCATCTTTCATAACTTCATGTCCTGCTAATTATTACATATGCTTTATTTTTTAGGTGCTTGGAGGTTGTCGAATATGAAATAATCAGAGAAAATGTCGGTTAATCAAACTAACACTAATACGCTTCATCAAAACTTTCTCCTGTAAAAATTAGTGAAATGTTTAATATACCTTTAACTACTCTACATCTTCTGGACTGCTTCAATGCGTAGCTTTACCATGGGCTATTGTAATCTGTCTGGCTGTATGCATTCAACATAGAACTTAGCACCGAAGTGCAGCAGTTCGAGTTACCACGTTCCAAAGAGCACACAAAGGTAGACAAGAAGATGAGTGAAGAGAATCAGTAGAGTTTTGACAAGTATAAGAGTGAAACAGAATGAGTAATGGTAGAAAGGAATATGAAAGATTACAGAGACTGAATACATCTGCGCCTTTGACAACAATTTCGAGCCATGTCACCTATTGTCTCTAGCCATTGATTGATTCTTAGAGTCCCGAGGGCCCCAACCCAGAAGTCTGCATCTCCTTACCTGACTCAGTTTAACTGTCAAGGATTTCATGGATTGATGAGGCCATGTTTTTGTTTGGCCACCACTACTTGCTCTTTTCCAACCTGCACCGATATCAGCTAGTAATGCCCGTCCGTCGGGGGAGGCGATGGTTAGGCATGCGCAGCACGTCACCTAGCCATCTCGATCTATGTAACTTTATAGCCTCTTTGATTGATTTTCCCTCTTTGCCCAACACTCGACGCCTAACGTCAACATTACTTACCTTATTATGCCACCTAACGTGAGAAAGAGATCGTAAACATCTATGATCAAAAACAGACAACCTTTTCATGTCTTCAACTCGTATTGGCCATGTTTCAGAGCCATAGAGAAGGATGGAACGAACTGCTGAGCAGTACACACGTCCCTTGGTTGATAGTCGGATGTCACGCCTACGCCAGAGACGGTGTAAGTTAGCGAAAGCAGCCCGAGCTTTCTGGATCCGTGCTGTGATTTCGTCACCAATCAATCCGTTGGTGCTGATACAACTTCCCAAATAGGTGAAGTGGTCAACATGTTCTATCACTTCACTCCCTATCACTAAGCTAGGAGTTGACGTAGTCCAGTCCTGTAGCAGCATCTTACATTTCACAGGAGCGAATCGCATGCCAAACATACGAAGATTGATGCTCAAGGTGTTCAGAAGACTCTGCATTTTGTCAGCATCTTCCCCTAACAGGACTATGTCGTCTGCGTATTCTAGTCTATAAGACTATTCCCTGGTAACAAGTCGTTAAGTTCAGTTAAGGATATTTCCATTAGCATATCTATGATGAAGTTAAACAGAAAAGGGGAAAGTGGACATCCTTGACGGACACCACTGGTTGTTATCAATTCAGATGACAATTCCCCATAAGCCCTTACACGGCTACGTGAGTTTGAGTAGAGTGCCTTGATTAGTGCAATATACTTTCTTGGCACTCCTTTTACAGTCAAACATTGCCATAGTAATTCTCGATCCACGGAGTCGAAGGCCGCCTTCAAGTCAAGAAATATGGCAATTGTTGGACGCCTAAAAGTTTTGTCTATGTTCTAGGATCTGTCGGAGAGTGAAGATATGATCTATGCACCCTCTACCTCGCCTAAAGACCGCTTGATTTAGGTCAGGTAGAGGGTGCTATTGTAATATGTGAAGTTGGATTAATCCAGGTAAACCTTAGTTAACGGTATAGGGGATTACTGTAGATTTGAGGTTGTTGTAGGATTTTGCATCTGTTTCAATACAGTAGTAGCACTTAGCAAGTTGAATAATAATTCTGTACTTTTCTATACCCGAAATTCGCCTTATTTAGTACTTATTTGTACCTCTATATGCTGCTAAACGCCAAGTCTGTAGTACAAGTAAACATAGTAATTTCTTAGAGCTGATAGCTACGTAATTAATCTGTTACTATGAAGTTACATCATCAAGTGGACTGTTTACCTGATAATGAATGAGCTAAGCAAAAAATCCTTATTGATTCATACTATGCCGTTGAATCATGTGGTGCTATAACTAATGTCCATCACCTGTATGCTCGGTAACTGCAGTATTTGCATATCTACTTATTATTATTATTTCCTTTAATTTCTAGAGGAACATAGGGCTTCAACCGTGCGTCTCCATTGCGTTCGGTTCTCTGCTAGAGTCTTCACCTGCCTCCATGTCTGCCCGCACGTTTTCATCTCCACTTCACATGACCTCCTCTAAGTCACCCTTGCACTGACGACCAACTCGCCGCTTCCCTTTCGGGTTCCACTCGAGCAATGGCTTGTCTAGTGATGTCACTTGATGGTTTCCTCAGAGTATGACCAGCCAATCCATCTCCATTTTTTTCCTGCCTATTTGTTTCACAATCGGTTCCTGCTAGGTTAGTTCGCTCCCAAAGATCTCTGTTGCTGATCTTTTCTGGCCGGCCATCTGATCTTGAGTATTGAGCGAAAACAAATGTTAATGAAGGTCTGTAGTTTGTTTGAGATGCTCTTCATGACGCGCTGGTCAAGTCTCTGATCCGTATAGTAGCACTGACTTCACATTGGAGTTGGAAATCCGGATCTTATTTTTGATGCTGAGTGCTGTTGACCTCCACACAGACTTGAGAGTAGTGAAAGCTTGTCTTGCTTTTCCGATTCTTGCTTTGATTTCCTCGTCAGTTCCGCCTGTAGTTGAAACGATGCTCCCCAGGTGGGTAAAGGAGGTTGTTTCTTTCAGATTTCTCCCATTTATGCTACTTAGTGGATATTCAATTATTTACGGTTTTATGCATCTAATAAGAATTAACAAACTTTAACGACTCCACTTCATCCTGCTTGACGCGTTCTTCTTGCTTCAGTCATGAAAGTAGCGCGTGTCTTTTATAGATTTCATCACACAGCTTATCAACCTTAAATGTGTATACCACATATAGGCACAAAGTTTAAAAGTTAGGTATGCAAATCAAATTGAACGCTTGTACGGTACATTAATTATTTATAGGACTAACTAGTATGTAAGACTTGACCAGTTGCACAACGTTTAATA